ATTTTTGATCACAAACAGTAATATCATAAGCTTGCCTTGGTAGTTTTTCAGGCATTTCTCATGACACTATTTAAAGCTACCAAGGGCAGTCTTACGATCTCAGCATTTTATATGTCGTTATCTTTCATATTATGCAACCCCTATCAATGTTTCTGTTAACAGTTTGGTGATTTTATATCTACACATGTTCAACAGTTTTAATAGCATTTAAAGTAACCCAGACCTGAATATCTTCCTGGTCTTCCAAATCAATCAAGGGAAGCATAATCTTGGTATGAGTATGGGGCAAACAAACTTTATGCGACTTTCAATATCAATCATTCCGCTTAAACTACATGGGATGTAACCTCATAAAGATTTTTAGGAGTGCTTGTCCTAGACAAATCATGTTTTCCCACACATGATTCCACCACATATCTTCTTTCGTGATCGCTAAGTTGATAGTAATAGTAACATGGAGCACACAACAGCAAGGCAGCAAGAAGTATTGTATCATCGCTCAGCCTCTCTACATGAGTATTCCCACGATGCTACCTCTATCATATCAACGTGCACGGAATATACTTATTATAAAACATCATGAATCTTTTAATCAAGGCATGTTTCTTATTTAATTTCAGCATATAATTAAGTTGGCAAGATAATAAAACTCAACAAACTTAACTAACAGAATGAGCAAGACAAAACTCCGCAGCAACTGTGTGGATGGACAATCTATTCAATTCCGTTTACAAAATACAGTGAATACGAATGTTCAGCTGTCAGATTGATTTCTTAGCGAGCGACTGTGGAAATGAGCTGCGCAGCGAGAGATTCCGTTCGCAACTTACCAGTTAACAAGGAACCAAGAAATCGGTAATTCCAGAAATTAACCTAATAACAGGTAAGCTGTAGGTTGGAACGTTCGTTTCTTGACTGGCGAAAGTAAGTTAGACTGTGTATGCCATACGGCCAGTCGGTACAAAATCGATGTACTGGCGGTGATGCACTTTGCCTCCCAGAGAAGAGGAAGCTTGATCTGCAGGATCGATGGTCAGGCCACTGTAGATTACACCACGTCAGTAGGATTAACCTCTTGTCCCATAGGGTAAGATGGGCTGTCATTTCAGTGGAACATATGCCCTGAGAAAGAATCATGGTCTTTCATGTCATACAGATGAACGTTATTTTAACCCATTTCAAAGATGCTTGCCACGACTACCTGCAGTCGGCTGCTAAAGCTTTCTAACGTCACAAAGTTACAATTGTCATAGGCGACCTCAGCGCAAAGATTAGTACCGAATATAGCACATCCCCCGGCGTACTCTTACGTCACGGTATTGTCGGCGCAAATGACAACAGCAGTAATCTGCGACGCATCTGCGTGAAAAACAGCTCAATCGTTGGAAGACACTTTTCCCTCACAACCGTATTTTTCAAATTACTTGTAAGTAAAATCGTTACGTACGTCTTCTATATCGCGGTAAGCTGCAGGTAAATGAAACTCCATTAAATTCCGTAAGCAAAACGAAACTCCATTAAATTCCGTAAGCAAAACTTTACATATTTAACTGCATGCTTTTATCAGGGTGCCGTAAAAAAACTTTCACTCCTGCGAAGACTAAGACATTCTCCTTTTCCTTAAGTACCCTTTCCGCTGCAGATTAATGATCATAATCTCTTCAGAGCAACCCACCGACAAGCTTTACGACTCCATTGTCGAGCAGTTCTGGATTTCCCCGTTTAACGTTGTCAATGGACCATTTGACCAGCTCTGGAATATGCTCTATTCCAACCGCCTTACCAGTGGGTCCGACCTTAAAAGAAAGTTCATACTTAATGGAAAAC